GTAATCTATGTATGTATAGTGGACACTGATTTTATCCTTCTACTCCTCTTAAAGGAGCATTGCAGTTGCAGAATCAAGAATAAATAAGAGGCCATTGTTTCCTACAAAGAATTTCCTTTCCTATAAGAAGCTAATAGTTATCGTATGATTAGTGAATATTATTTGTAATATATTAACAGCAAGACACACATTGTTTGTACTTCTCGCTATAATATTTTAATATTAATTGTCAATAAGCTTACGAGACTGGTTTTCAAAGGTTCTCTGTATACCTGATTATTTATTTCATTTTGCAAATTTAACAATTTTCTTTTACTATGTTTTGCTATTTACGTTAAAATCTTGCAGCCGTTAATCTATGGGCATGGTCCAACTCCTGCTGGAATGGTGATGATGCCAATGATTTTGCCTGACGGAAGGATCGGATATGTGCTGTAAGTTTTAACCATGAATCTGTAATTGCAATTCATGCGAGCCTGCTTTATTGTTTGTTCATACATATGCTCAATCTACATCTAAATTTCTTTTATTCTTCTGCCTCAATATGGAGCCAAATTGACATTTGACTCGAACTCATGCAGACTCTTTGGCTCTGTTCCTGTAACATAGGCCGACTTATAATATTAATATGCATGAATATTGTAGTTTTTGTTTATTCTTGTGATGGCATTCACACTGAGAAATTGTTTTGTACAGCCAACAGCCTAGAACGCAACCAGAGACGCATCCACCTCAGTCACGTAGCAGCCGAGGTGGTGGTAGTGGCTCAAGCGGCAGAAGACGGAGCAGCAGTGACAGTTACCGAGGACGCAATCGGTATAATCCATATTAGATTTCATTTCTTCTGGAGAAGAGGAAAAAAGAAAAAAGTGAGATTGGTTATATTTGAGGCTAGGAATTAGCCGGCAGTAGGCAACTTATGGGAGATGTTTATCTGTGGAAATACATAGTGATATAATATTTGGCCTAATTCCAACGGCTCAGATTGACAATGATATCTTCTCTTACAAAACTGCAGTGGGAATAACAGCATAATTAAAAGAAAGTTGGAATTTTAGGGAAAGCATTGTAACTAAACTATAAGGTAGTCAATAGATGGCAGTTAAAAAAAACTACAGTGTATCGTTTTTTTCTTTGGTATCAGTACCTGTGTATTGTTTTGGATTTACTATTATTTTTTAAAATGCTTCTTACGTATGTTAAATATAATATGAATGTATCTCAATTACATACATAAAACTATGTTTGTATGAGTTTTAAAAGTATTAAGTCAAATAATTTAATTAAGTTATATTTTATTTTTGATGTAATTATGTGAAAAACAAAATTAAGGGAGAATTTAAAATTTAATTTACAACGAATGGCATGTATGCCCCTATATGATGGGCATTGATTGAAACAAAGTCGAAATGTTCGTTAAAGGAGGACAAGGAACACAATGGGGCAGATAACCAAAGGAAAGAGCACATATAGCACAGCGTCAATTACATCAACGATAAACCAATTCCCAAGGTAACATAATTAAGCTTCTAAAGGATGCAAAGCTGACCACTAAGAAGGCCTAAGCACGCAAATGAACAGAGGCGACGAATACCTTCCTTAGCCAAAGCATCCGCGTCACCGTTAGCATCTCTCGAGATACCTGAACCTTCCATGCAACATAGCTGATGACAGAACAGACTATCGAAACTAAAACAGGTCCGAGCATTAATCCAAGAAACCACAAGATTGTTATCAGATTCAACGAGGGAAACCAAATTGAGTCAAGAAAGCAGCGACAAGCTTCCACCACGGCAACACTTGAGGGATCCTACAAACCAGCAGCTCTCGAAAATCTAGCAAGAACTCCGTCACGATCTCTTAAAATACCACCTATATCAGCAGCCCCAAAGCTCTCACGGACGACTCCATCCACATTAAACTAAAGTGAGCCAGCAGGAGGCCCTTTCCACAAGCACACCCAAGGTTTATTATGGATTACTTGAGCTACTCGAGCAGGACGAGGGAAAGGCGGGATATCAAAAACTGATTTATAGGAATCTGGCCAACTATTTTTACACCAATAGCTAATTCTCAACAATGCCATATCAAATAACTGATTTTCATCAAGTTTAATATTCTTGAAGATGATCTCATTTCGAAAGAGCCATAGGGACCATACGCAAGCTCCTAAATATTTACGGATCAAAGGCTGATTGGAGCAGACACCCACATGGATAATAAAGAACCGAAATTATGAACCAACGCTGCCAAAATTTCCACGAAACTAACAATGACACATAAGGTGAGTAACAGATTCATCTTCTTTTGAACAGAGAACACACAAAGTAGAGTTAATACAATTAGATCCTCGCTTCGCTAATTCAACCTTTGTACCATATATTCGCTTTCCACACGAATGTCTCGATCTTGGAAGAAGCCAATTTAGACCACACCATTTTCTATATCTCATTAAACTCAGCACCATCTTATTGCTAGGCAATACTTCTTAGGTTTACAGCAGTCAGATGATGATCCACACCAATGTAGACTATCGAAAGTCAAGCAACTCTCCGAGACTCTCCAAAGCAAAAGATTGAAAGAATTCTAGACAGAGACTTCCCAATCAAAAAGAGGTCTTCGGAGTTCAATTTTTCATTCCCAGATTCCTGAAATCTTGGTTCCGAAATCAACCATCTTACCCACTTTGAGGGCTACTATAGCAAAAAATCTTAGGAATAAAATTGAGTGGCTTGTCATTACCTAAAACACAACGTAACTTGCTGATGAAGAGGTCGTTTACGTTTGGCACGGGACAATGATTCCTCTCCAAAGATACACGCTTGGTAGGAGTTGTAGGAAGTAAGATGGAGAATCATAATCATGCTTGGACTCATTACTTTCCTTCGTAAGCTATTCTAGTCGCAATCAAACCTTCAAAACCATTTATTTAACATCGCTCGATTTTTTATATCAAGATAAAAAATTTCAAGGCCATCGGCTTTGAGAGGCTTGCATAAGCTCTCTCAACTGATCCAATGGATCGACCTACTCGAAGAAGCAATCCAGATGAACATGTCAATCATCTATTCAACATAGCACTAAATAGAAGTTTAGATTTCCACCCATCAAGACGACTCTGAAACTTGTCCAAAATTGATTACCACAGCCCACAACCCTACCGATTTTTTGGAGTGACCCAAGGGGAGACCAAGATAGTATGAGGGTAACTGACCACAGCAACACTTAATTGAATCAACCCCACACTGGACCTTGGTACTTCCACATTGATCTCAAATAACTTGGTCTTTTTTAGATTCAATTTGAGACCAGTCCTAACTTAAAAAATGCTAAGTACCCTTTTGATGTTTCGAACAACAACACTTACAGTTGAAAATATAATGAAATCATCAACGAACTGAATATGAGAAAGAACGGTGCAACATGAGCCACAAGAAAGATCCTTGAACATACCAATCGATTCGGCCTTTGAAAGTAAAACAGTAAAAGCCTCGACAATAAGATTGAAGAGCAGAGGGGATAAAGGACAACTTGACGAAGATCCCTCAAGATCGAGAAGGGGTTTGAACGTGAACTATTTATGGCCGATGCAAATTCCTGTTGTTCAAGATTTCGTTCGAACCCCAGAGTCCATTACTCTTGGTGACTGTTGGTAACGATCGAAGTAGTTGCTTTGAGCCTTTGTTTGAGCTTTTGATGTATGCTTTGTGTTGGTTTTACTGTAATGTTCGATTGTTCGTTGGTCTGATGCTTCTTAGCTGTTTTGGTACTGTTTTAAACTGCTCTGATCGTTATTCCAGCAGCTGTTTCTGCTGTTTTTTACACAGGTTAGGGGCTGGTTAGTGGGTACAATGGATGGATAACTAGCTTTCTTTGTTTATGGTCTGTTGTAGGGTGGGATTTTGCCATGTTTGAATGACTATCTATTACTGTACTTTGCTTCCTACTACCTCAAGGCATACTCTTTTTCCTCCATTTAGATTTAGGGAGGTTTTTTAATAGGTCCTTGAGGTAGTGTATTTTGTAAATATATTAATACAAAGTACCTTCTTTCAAAAATAAACTTCATCCACTGTCTCCATTTAGATCCAAAACTCATCTTCCACATAATAAGATCCAATAATGCCCAATCAACTGTATCACAACCTTCTTAAAATCTACTTTGAACACTAATGCTTTGCTCTTGGACCAGCACACAAAGTCCATAATTCATTAGCGATCAGAGAGCAGTCACAGATTTGTTTTCCCGAGATAAATGCAAGCTGCACTTTACTAACAACTTCATTAATACACGAAGCAAGCCTTCGAGATAAAACCTGTGCTAGAATTTTAAATAAAAACTAAATATAGTTCAGATATAAATAAAAAATCAATATAATATAAACTATTAAAATCTTATACCAATCAACACAAATGTAGATAAAAACAAGTAGACCAAAGCATACTAAAACAATCATAACACATTAGAATTTTAACTAAAGTATAACCTAAACTAATTTATGATTTTCAGGATGCTGATTATGTCGTCAACAACGACGTCGCTGAAGCATTTGCAATTACAGATTTTGTTGTCAAAACATTTGCAATTAAAGAGATACTTTCTTGACGATAAAGTAATTGTTGAATCTGTAACTTAAGTTGTTGACTAAAGATGAAGTCATTAACATGGAATGGAAAACCTTTTTCCATGCCCTAAAAATATACCACGATGTTAAAGGTTGTAAGAGAAATGAGGATGACAAAGATGTTCCTTTGCTCCCCAAAAAAATGTTCATCTGTGGTAAAACAAACAAAAATAAGATTCTACACCAACTTCAGTTTCATCTTCCACTGCTTCCTACTTCACTTCAAGGGCCAAAAACTCGGGGGTGGTTGGATCCATGCACTTTCGAACATAGGTTCCTCTTCCCAGTTATACTTCTGTTTACGGGGTTAATATCGACTGTCATCGAATGAGTACGATATGCAACGCTTCCCAAAGAAACGGAATTTAGGAAAGTAGACACTGTTGGGCGTTATTCCAGGGAGACTAGTTCCTGAGTGAGATGAGAAGAAACTCGCAAAAAGAGTCCCACCACGAAGGCTTTCCAATTCTTTTCTGATAGGTCCAGTTTATATACAATGGTGTTCTCGAATTTTACTGTATGGATGATTAAGATATCTCCATTGTGCTCAGTCAGATATTTTCCTTTCCACCATTGTTTGTCATAAAAGTAACCGGAGAATCTTGGTGGAGCCGCAGCAATAACTTTCCAATATTGCGTTCGGTGATAATAAATTCCTAACCAACCAGTGAAATTAACACAATAAAAGGCTCCATTGGAGAAAACGGGTTTGTCCCAACAGCTACTAACAAACGGTAAGCGACTCGGGTGATTAGCAGTGGTCCATTCCGATGCCCCAGGATGACAAATGCTGATAGGAACAAAAACTGGATCTTCGTGCCTAATTGAAAAGACCACACAATTGGTAGACATCGGGGAACAAGAGAAAGCGGCTACCTGAGATGCAAAGTCAAAGCTAGGAAGATTTACCGTCTCTCGAGTGAAGGGATTAAAGAAAAATATGCGGTGGTTTCCGGGTCTATATAACAACAACCCGAACTGAGACTGCAGCCTTGTGTCAATTCTTGCAGACCGCAGATGCTCGAATGTTGTCCTCTTGTGAGAGGCAGGACATGATCAAATCCAAAAGTTCTACAGGAAGACTTGACCATGTTTGTAGCTCAAACCTCCCGTTTCCATCTTCTGTTGTTGGTCTTTCATCCCCGTTCACAGTTTCTGCTAATATATACAACAAAAAGGATAACCACTATTAAAATGGGCTATCAGTTTTAAAGAATTATAAAGAAGTGTGCAATATAAACATTAAAATACTCGAGTAAGTCAAATAGTTTAATCATGCTTAATAACAATTTAGAAACTCGATGTTTGCTCCATTCATTGAACCTGCGTATAAGCCTAAAAGACATTTATTTGACTGGCAAATAAAAGCACAAACACACATTTGATTTGCATTCATTAAATACTTTATGCGAAAACTACTTGGGAACTTGAACATAATATACCAAAGAAAGGTACTTATTCGACTTAATCATAAGCCTACAACCCCGGGGGGATTCAAAGTAACAATATACGGACAAAGGGACAAAAAGATTCAAATATTCCAAACTAGAAACCACAACATCAAGCATCCAAAAAACTTCATAAGATTTTCCTTTTGTTGTTTAGGCCAAACCAAACCCGAAAATCCACCGTTATAGAAAAGATTTCTATGACTCTTTTCTGGATAAGTAAGACCTATATAAATCTAAATCCAAGTTCAAAAGCTATATTGTCATCACTCATTGAAATAACAGAAACAGCCAATAAATAATTATTTTCGAATCCCTGAATTCAAAATCCTATAAAGAACTAAACTTCCGTAATGATCCAATGAAATGGAATTGATGTAGAGAAGAACAAAATCTCCAACTTGGTTTAGAGTGCCTATTGGTAGTCAGAATTCTAAAAGAAGTAGCAATTGTGATACAAGACTTTATAGTTTTCATCATCATTATCCATGAATAACAAATCAAAGACTGATTTCAGGTATAAAAATTCAAATTCTAACCAAAACAATGCATTAACAATCAATCTTGAATTGCTTCAATCCACGAAGTAATATTCAACGATTTCTAAGCATGCTTAAGAACCGATTAAAAAACCATTAAAATGTTTAGCCATCATTGCAATGTCTCAAAATCAACTCAATTAAAACATGGGTGCATTACCAAACCCATGAAACTAATCTAATTACACCAAAACCAAGGACGAAGCCATAAACAAATGGGAGAAATATATCAGATTTGACAGCAAATTTCCATAATTCAACCTCATTATTCAGTAAGGAAAACATTTTTATCACATATTATGTAATCAAAATGCTCAAAATGCTCTAAATCCAAAAAAATACAACTTCAATTTCCATGAAACATAATCAGAAACAACAAAAAGTTTCAATTTTTTATTAAAAATGATAAATCTACCAACTTGGTTACTCAAGAGAAACAACTTACAATTTGAGCTTTCTTTTCCTTCTCCCAGCCATGGTTTGCAGAAAACTGATGATTTTACTGGCTTTTGTGTTACCGCTCAAGGAGTTATATGACAGAGAAGAAGCGGAAACGGTAATATGATTTAGGGAGAAATATATTGAATGCGTGGCACGTAATATACAGATGTTTAGTCGACTTATATAGAGCAAGAGCGATGAGCAAGGTTTATAGTATTACTAGAATAAAACCTTGAGAAAATTGGAATGAATCGAGATGTGAAAATATTATGAAAACATGGAATGAATCGATATATGAAAACAATATAAAAATAATTAAAACACAACAAAAAGAATAATACAACAATGGTATACGAACGTTCAAAAAACATATAAAGTTAATTATTAAAGTACAAATATATGTATTGTTACGAGATTAATCAGGTTGTGAAAAACTAATTCTATATCATTTTTTTATCTCGACTGAGAAATTTTTATTGCGTGTCGTAGTGTTGGTGTTAGATGTAGGGTCATGCTGTTTATTTATAGGTCGACAAACTTAATGAATATGACCAATTAATAGTTGATTTTGACTCTAATAGATCACGTGAACTTATCAAAAAGTCGTGACTTTCCTAGGGATGCAAAACACTTAAGATACTATGTCTAGAGATGTTCTTCCGGAGCTTCAACTATAGAGGAGTTATTTAGAGGTCTTAATGTGTGAAGATCAATCTTGTAGAGGAGATATATAGATTATATAACAATTATCCCTTGTATTCGAAGAAATGCCATAAAGTGGCTTAACTAAAGATTTATTTATGAAGGCGTTACTTGTATTTTATATATCATTTTTTAGGAACTTTCGAAATTATTTTTAAAATGGTTGAAGTCGGATATCCTGGGCCTAACTATGTGGAAGGCACCAAGGTGTTTAGCGAAGCCGCCAATATTATAATCAGAGTGAGTAGAAGGAACAACTTGGTTCTATCTTCGTGAAGGCCTCTCTAGGGTGGTAGTTTGTAGGAGTTAATTACACCTAAGGAGGCCAAACTACATGCTACCAATGCTATGACAGTGGCGTTGAGAGTAGAGTTGGAACATTTGGGCAATTTTACCGATATATCACCCTGACGGGAAATAAATATTTGTCAGACATCCTTTGATTTAATTTTACCGATTTAGCACCCTTTCTGAAAAGGCACGGATCGTCATCCGCGCATTTATGGAGTTTCGTTCAAGTTGGCGCCACGTCATTAAAGGCGCAGATGGTCATCCGCGCCTTATCCGAGTTGGCGTCACGTTCCTGGGGCATCTGACACGCGTACGTAAGGCGTAGATCGTTCCATTATTTGTTTCGACCCATTATCATCCCTAATTATGATATTATTTTATTATAATTTAAATGCTTTTTTATAACCATATACAATACTTATATATATTTTCGTATTTTTTTTTCAAATGTGATATATATATATATATATCATACAAAGTCGAGGGACTCGAATCAAACTTGAAAATCATTCCACTAATTACTAATATTTTTTAGTTATTCGAGTTACTATTCGAGTTGTATTTTACAACTCGATTTGAACTTGAATTTTTTTTGAGACAAGTCGAGTATATAAAACTAAAACTCGAAGTCAAATCGAGTAGAGATTTTTCGAACCGAGTCAAAAAAAATCAATTTTTCGAGTTAAGTTGACTTTTACTCACCCTTGTCTTGTCACTATATTTCTCCTAAAATACATTCTTTTAAAAATTAAAATTATAAATATATTTTACAATTTTAAATGAAATTTGATTTATTAGATAACATTATATATATATATATATATATATAATTATTAGAGAAATTCGTTAAATTAGACAAATTCACGCTAAACTATTATAAATATTCAGAATTAAATATGAACAAAAAGTTAAAACTTGACTTGAAAAAATTCAAATAAAATTTGAATCATGATTCAACTCGAAAAAATTTCAAATCAACTTCGAGTTATAAAATAGTACTTATCAACTCGAATAACTTGAAATTTTTTTACTCAACTCGATTGAACGCTCACCCCTAGATAAGAGAATTAAGAAGTCAGAGAATTGATGATAAGAAAGAATTTGCCAAAAATGCAATAAAATCAAATTGAATAAAATGCAAAGTCGTGGGACTAAATTATAAAAAGTGTAAAGTTGTTAAAAATAGAAACAGAAGTTACATAGATATTCTATAATGTTAGAGGAGCATGTGATTCAAATTTGATCAAGAATGAACTTAAAGTAACAAAGGAATTAAGAGTAAGATGAATTATTGATAAGTATTTGAGTTACTCGAGTTGATTTGAGTTAAAAAATTTGAGTTAGTTGAGTACGATGTGATTACAAGTTAATATATGTTCATGATATTTCTTAACTATTAGCAACACATACACACACTATAGATACAATTGCTCGAATCAATGACTCCAAGGTAGAACAACACTCTTTAATCACATAGGCCATTCAATGGGTTCAGAATCGAATTAATTATTTTAATAATGTAAGGTGATTGCAAAGTAATATATGTTTGTGATCTTTTTTAATTGTTAACAACACATATACACCCACGCATCAGTTTGAACTCAAGTCCTTTAAAAAAATAATACTCCCTTTAATTACTAAGACTACTTGATAAACCGAATTAATTTTTTGAATAAATTGTTGTTCACACAAGGTTTAAAGTTTAAGTAACATCCTATCATATTTTTATATTATTTAAAATATAATATAATATAATAGCATAACGTTGTTTCATTGGTGTCTTTAAAAATCATGGAATAATGTTAAAAAATCATTGTAATAGAACTTATTTGAAATGATAATAATAAGCAAAGCAATCATTAGTCAACAACGTTGAAACTTGGAACACTCACTCTAAAAATCAAATTTTCTCTATCAATTTTCCATAATTTATGTGACACTAATTTTTTGTCCATTCTTTTTATTATCTTTATTATTATTATTATTATTATTAAATAATAATAATAATTACAAATATTATTACAAGCCTGATTACAAGTATGGAGCCCATTTACAAAACAGAACATGGAGGCCCATTTACAGTAGACCCGGTCCTGACCCAAGTTGACATAAAGCATATCCAGGCCCAGACCCGGAAGCCCAACTCGGTCCAGATCCGATCTAGCAGAACCCTTCTAGGGTTTTCATCTCAGCTTCTAACCGCCAATCTTCTTAGCTATAGATCCAACGATCTAGATTTCTTCTAGAAGAAACCCTAAGGTATTATAAGCCTAGGGCTATGTTCGGCCGCCGTCTCAGCTAGATAAGAAGCCTGCCGTCTCTACACTCCGCTCCAGCTACTACCACGACGCCGTCACCTCGACAGAAGATTCCAGAGGCATCAGGATAGCCGCACACGTCGCAGCCCTAGAGTGAGTCATCACCGTAGCTTCAGTGATTCACCGAAGGGCACCCTTGTAACCTGTCCGAAGGGAGCTTCGATGAGGCATATAATAGCCATCGACTCACCTGTAAAGAAGAGGACACGAATACATCAAGCAAGGGAGA